CTCGCTTTCTACATTTTTTAAATACATTGTGTTTAGATTTTTTTTCACTTGCTTCTGATAAAACTACATCACTCTCACAGATGACTTCGGCCTCCTCTATATTCTGGCATGGTTCAAAATCATCAAACAATGCTTCTAATGTAGGCTTTTTCACTTGTCTAGGGGTTGTTTAATAAAAGGCTCCGGGTAGTTGAATACATATATAATAAACATAATAATAAATATAAACAGCAAACAGCAAAACAAGTAACAAACAGGAACTAAGTATATACAACTTATATACAATATTCAATGTATTGCGTCTTCCAAAATACATACGTCTTCGTGTAATCACAATAAATACGTCTTCCGTCTTTTTTGAGCAAAAATGCTCAACGCCTAAATGAAATATACCGTTTTAATCAAACATCTTACTACCTTGCTTGTCTCTCACTCTACTGCCGCGGTGGTCCCTCACGTACCCCCAACATGCACGCATAGGTAAACTAGATTATTGATTTTCCACCACCTAATTGGCAATATCACTACTCTTGCACCGGGGCAAGTAAAAACTGTATCGAAAAAGGCTAATAGTATATGTGGCCAGGAATTATATTGTAAATGGAAACAATTATTTTTCCATTTATGCCAAATGGTTTTGAATGGAATTTACAAATTTTCCATTGATTCCCACTGAACTTCAATGGAAATTTTTCCTACGGGCTACCCACTTATCTCGCCTATTTCCTATTGACTTTCATGGAGTTCTCTGTTCTCCTATTCTTTCTAATACCTCTTCGTTTCTAACCATCTCTATCTCCAGTGTCCTCATAATTCGCCTGTAGCACCACATTTCGAACGCCTCTAACCTTTTCTTTTCCGCCGCGTTCGTGGTCAACTTCTAAATTAACCATTCGCGAGCACAAAAGCGACTTCTTTTTGTTGAAGACGACTCAATCTTGCGCTACTCTGTGTTTTATAATTCTTATGCCCGTTTATTCTTTATCTACATAACTACGTATACGTTTTTCATTTCCAGATATTTCAATATTGCTTTGACATCACCTGACGTTGCTGCTTCAGACAGAGCCAGTATTTTCTCATACGTTTACTCAAAAGGAAAAATTGAGCTCGACACGGAATTAGAATTCATTAGTGAAAATCTTGAATCTATATTTAACGTGTAAGTGTTAGTACATATGCAAAAATTTAACCGATAAATATTGATTATCTTTTTCTCCCAAGGACTTCGATTACGTCTTCTCTAACTGGAATTGGAGGAAGATTGACCACACAAGCGCAACTTAATGCTGTAAGTATTGTTTTCTCAATCTTTCATATATGACTGACTTATTCTTTTGTTAATTTTCAGTTGGAGAGGATACAAGGAACCTACAGCAATTATTCTGCGGTACTCAATGGAGCAATAAGTGCAGCTCGAGCTAATTTAGAATGGTGCAATCAATACCTTAGCCAAATCACATCTTGGGTGAATGAAATATCTAATAATGGCACTAGTTCAACTCCTGCTCCTAGTACTCCTGTAACTCCTATTACTACAACTCCGGCTCCTAGTACTCCTGTAACTCCTATTACTACAACTCCGGCCCCTGGTTCTACTACACCTGGTCCTGCTGATGGAGGAAGTTCTTCACTATTTTACCATCCACTTGTCCTCGTCTTACCTATTGTGTATTCGCTATTTAACCGATAATGAGTACATATAACTCTCTTTCTTTATTAAGAAAATATTTAATCAACAGTTCAGTATCAGTATTGCTCTATATTTAAATAAATAAACTTTTACGGATTTTTTTGGTGTTTTATTATTTTCCGATCCACTCAGTTTTCACAGGTCAACTTTGAATAAATGAAGACAGAACCTCGCTCACATCATTTTTTAACAGGAACATAGGAAAATTCTAAATTATTTATTTTGAGTGTGTCGAAAACGAACACTAATTAATAATAAAAGGTCTTTTAGAATTTGTATGCAATTTTTTACGAAATTTGAAATTGAATATTTTAAATCCATATCTATCTATAAGTAACAGGGGAATCACACAGAATGAATATATATATATATCAGTACCTAATTGATGTACTCTCAAATTCATAGATGATTCTTTAACTGTTATGATTAAACTAGCATCAATTAATATAACGTAATCCCCGACTTCTAAATTGCAATGTTTTTCGTTGTTTATATGTATATCTAAACGATATCTGCCAAATAAAAAATATCAACTGTTCACATAGGTAGTGATAACTCACATAAAATAACCATATCTCTTAAATAATCATTTTAATTGTTTATTTTTCTTATTTACCTTTATTAAGAACTATAAAATCTTACTTTTAGCTCGAAAAGTGATAAACTTATTTATGTAATTACACATACCATTTGATTTCTTTGTATTAAATATTAATGTTAACATTAATTTTCAATTTTTCATCCACTACAAACTACCTCAGGTTGTTGAGGGAAAATTTTTGTTACTGTTGTCAAACCCCCGTCGAGAGTCGAACTCGAGAAACAACAACCACGACAAACTGAGCCTACAAGATTACAGATCCTTCGATTTTTTGCTAATATAATTACATATATTAAATATATGTCACAATGACATTTTTAATTATTAATAGTGATTAATATTAAATATTAATGTGAAAATTCATTTTCAATGACCCGGGTTCGATTCCCGGCGGGACTATAACAACAGCAACAAATATTTTCCCTCATTGACCTGAGGTACTCTGTAGTGGATGAAAAATTGAAAATGAATTTTCACATTAATATTTCATATTAATCACTATTAAAAATGTCAAACTGTTTGAAAATCATAATAGTCTTACCAAATTACCATTAATCAAAACCTGTTATACCAACATCATCATCATCACCATTATCATAAGGTCGTCAATTCTAAGACTGGTTGGACACGCACCTCCACTCTTTCCTATCCTGAGTTAATCTTCTAAAACTAGAATAACCTACATCCTTAATTATTTGCAACAGTAATCTAATCTAGGTCTAGCTCTACCCCTCCTAACTCCCGTTTCTGCCTCTAATGTCTCTGACTAAACCTACATTGAGAGAAGGTATCCTACTAATCTATAATACGTATCTCGCCTATTCCTTATTGACTTCCGTAGAGTCCTCTGTTCACTTGTTCTATATTCGCCTGTAACACCACATTTCGAACGCATCTAAACCTTTCTTTTCCGCCCCGCCCATGTTTCGCACCCGTACACCTCCGCGCTTTATTTGAACAGATCTCGTATATTATTACTAGGAAGCGGATGTCGTTCGTACATTACGTCATCATCTGAGCTACTATTTTTGGAAATAGAGGTGTAAACGCTTTGTAGCTGCTTTTATGTATGCAGCCACATCCTCTACCTACAAAGAGCCATCACATCAGCCTAAGTGCGGACGTTATACATATATGCAACATGCGCTGTCTA